AGCAAGCATAGAAAAGAAGATAAGCTTGTTGAATTTCCATAAATTCCTCATAGAACGGACTTTGGCCGGTGAAAAACTGGAAGGTAAAAACTTGAAAGAGGCCAAGAAGTGTATGAGGGAGATGAATCTCATACTTGCTCTCAAGCATGACTGTCATGAAGCGTTAAGCATATTGACAGATCGTGTGAGAGTTTACGAAAGTAAAATAAAAACTTATGAGACCCAATGTGCATTCAAGATACAAAACGCCAGATTCGAGCTGTTCAGAAGACGGTTCTATAGAAGTCTGACCGAAGAACAGCCCATGAGCCACATTGTAAGGACTGAGGAAATCGGGGATTTTTGGGGTATGATATGGAACTTCGGAATGGAAAAATATGATGATACCCAACACAACGAATATCTGGAAGAATTCGTTTCAGGTGATGAAGTGCATCATACTTTTTCCTCTAAAGCCGAATTTGGGAAAATAGTCTCCTATTTGTCCAACTGGAAAGCGGCAGGACCTGATGGAGTTTATACCTTCTTTATTAAGAAGTGCACCTCCTTGCAACCAGACCTGTACAAAATAGTAAGAAGAATTTGCCTGAATGGAGAGGAGCAGGATCCGTGGTTCTATAAAGGTACTACCTATCTGATTCTAAAAGATGTACCAAGTAAAGGTAGCGACTTCAGGACAATAACTTGTATGTCGAGCCTTGACAAGTTAACAGAAATGGTAGCACGCGTCATGCAGTTAGATGTTGCCATGAGAAAGCTGCTTGCAGACAATCAATTAGGGGCTGTTACTTAGATTCAAGGTGCGAAAAAACAAGCAATGTGGAACCTGGCGGTTTGCAAAGAGCACGGAAACAAGCTTTGTACTACGTGATATGACATTGAAAAAGCGTTCGATTCAGTTAATCATGAATACCTTGATTAAGTGCATTGAGAGGCTTAACATGCCATCCTGTATCAGCAGGTTTCTGAGAAGCATTTCTTCCAAATAGTCGGTTACATTGAAAAGAAGTGGAGGAACTATAATGGAGAAGAAAATAA